CAGGGCACATATAAGAGGCCGCCAATCGATGTTTTTCTCTCACATCAATGTTTCTCTCTCTCTAAAATTAAGAGCATGTCCTCGGGTGAGGAAAAGGAAGGAAGGGAGGGAGGGAAGGGAAAGAAGAGAAAAAGAAAAAGAAAAAGAAAAAGAAAAAGAAAAAGAAGGAAGGAAGGAAGGAAGGAAGGAAGGAAGGAAGGAAGGAAGGAAGGAAGGAAGGAAGGAAGGAAGGAAGGAAGGAAGGAAGGGAGGAAGGGAGGAAGGGAAATTTAAAATGAGAGAACACTTGTGGACTGTGGTGGGAATGCAGACTGGCACAGCCACTGTGGAAAACAGTATGGAATTTCCTCAAAAAACTAAAAAGGGAACTGACTTTTTATGTGGCAATTCCACTGCTGGGATTATACCCTAAGAATCCTGAAATATCAGTTCAAAAGAACCTATGCATCACAATGTTCATAGCAGCACAATTTACAATAGCCAAGTGCTGGAAACAGTCTAAGTGCCCATCAGTAAATGAGTGGATCAAAAAATTGTGGTACATATACACAATGGAATACTACACAAAAGAAGAAGGAACTCCTACCCTTTGCAAGAGCATGGATAGATCTGGAGATCATTATGCTAAGTGAAATAAGCCAGACAGTAAAAGACAAATACTATATGATCTCACCTATAAGTGGAACCTAATCAACAAAACAAACAAGCAAGGAAAATATAACCAGAGACATGGAAATAAAGAACAAACTGACAGCAACCAGAGGGGAGGGAAGAGGGGGATAACAAGGGAAAGAAGGGGAAGGGTTGTCAAGGAACAGTTTAAAGGACCCATGGACAAAGACAACAGGGGTGGGAAGAGGACTGAATGTGGGAGGCAGGGGTGGGTAGAAGGAATGGGAACAACTATAATTGAACAATAAAAAATGAGAGAACAAAAGTGCCTCAAAGTAGTACATTACTTAGAGGCGGACTTGGTCACTCTGAAAGAAATTAGCTCTTCTTTCATCTCAAATATTGGAAACTTTACCTAGAAGTACTTTATACTTCATTGGTGAAATTGGTGAAAGCTTCCTAATAAAAATACAGGAGGATTAAATCTGAGGAGACACAAACAATAATTGCTCTGACAAAAAAGAAGATTCTAAACGATGTAATCTGAGCATTGGGAAGATCTTCGCAATCAACTGTCCCCTTCTCTACTCCAGCAGTTTTCCTCAACCACATCTCACAACGTGGTCACCTCAACTAGCACCCTGTCAGTGATGGAGAACTCACTGTCCTCTGAAGCAGCCAAGCCTGTTTTCACTCAGATACAATTCATACCAATGTATTTGTTATAATGCTCTTTAAACTGACCAGAAATCACTCACTCTGCAACTTCTCTCCATTGATCTAACTACATCTTTCCATAGCTCTAAATCTCCAGTCTCTCTTACACTTGAAAGCAATTCAAATGACAGAAACTTGGAATAATAAAGGTGCAAATTACAAGGCTAGAGGCCGGACGGGTTAGAATAACGATCTAGGGTAGAGGAGAAGGAAGGATTAGGCTGATTCCAAATGACTTGGAGAATTTCAGGAAGAGCAAGAAGGTAATTGCAGCTAAAGTGAAGTAAGACACAATGGTAGGAGATAAAGTGAGCTCGCAGAACGCGCAGGGTCTGGCAGAACATGGTGAGACGAGGTTTTACACTGAGTGTGATGGGTAGCCACTGAGGGGTTCTCAATAGGAAATGACAGGACCTGTTTAACATTTTTTTTTTTTAAAAAAAGCACTTTTTCTCATACATGGAGAACTGACTGAAGAGGTACAAGGGTACAAGGAGGAGATGAGGAAGGCCAGTTATTATTATCATCTAGGAACTTATGACGGTGATTGTAAGTTATATTCAAGTAGTAGGGGTGGGGTGGCAGCAGGAAGGGGGATTTGGGATATATTTTGAAAGGAGGACATATAAGCCTTATCGGTGGGCTGCATGCAGGTTAACAGAAAAAAGAGAAAAGTCAAAGATGACTTCTAGTTTTTGGCCTGAGCAACTAGGTGGACCATTTATGAAAATGAAGAAAGAGGCAGAAACAGGTTTTGGGAGGAGACGTTAAGAGAGTTCTATTGCAAATGTGTTAAGTTTCAAATGTTTGCAAGAATTTCAAACAGAGATGTTTACTAAGCAAACATGCATATGAGCCTTGAATACATGGGAGAGACCACGGCAAAGAAATAAATTTGAGAGGACAGGTGGCATTTAAACAAAGCATCATATGAGATCCGCAGAGAATAAATGTAGAAGGTGGCCAAGGACAGGACCCTGAAGAATGTCAACTTTTGAAGACCATGAAGAAGAGGAAATAGCAAGGGAAATTTTGAAATTTTATGTGTATTTTATGCTTTATAGTATAAGAGAACTGCAGATTTAGAGCTACAGAAAGACACAGCTAGATGGGGAAAGTTACAAAGACTTCTGCTCAGTGTAATGAGCACTATAATGAATAAACTGGTAACTTATTCTTTCTCAATAAGTGTTTGGAATTATTTTATATCTACGAACTACAAAGTCTATAGCCAGCCATCATAATCTTCAAAAACTACCTTTCAAAGTCACGTGCCTATTCTATTTCTGACTCCTGCCCACTGACTGGCCTGGATAGCTGCATTTCACGTGTCAGCTGCTAATTATTCCATCTCTAACCTCTGGCATGAGCCCTAGCTTCTGGATCCAAGTTCTCACCCCAACTAACAACTTCTAGTTGCCCAACACTGACCAGGAGGCACATTGAGATCATATTCCCCAGAGCTGCCAGAAGTTCTTGGCATATGATCAGTGAAACATACAATAAGTGAGTGTTCACAATTAATCAGCTGACAAGCGAACAACTGACATGTTAGGGAACTGAAGGAGCCACATCAAGACTGAACAGAGAACAGGGGATTGTGCTCCAGACTAGTCACCCCAGGGGAAAATCTGCTCAAGGTTCCCCAGCGGGATCAGACATCCTTTTTCACCCAGAAGAGTTGAAATAATCTGAAGGCTACCATGTGTCCAAGGATTCAGGACTCCCTGGAAGCTGGTAACACTGAACCAAACTAGGTAGTGGCACCAAGGGCACTTGGTCGTTCTGCCCCATACCCTCAGGGTTAGCCTGTAGCCCTCTGTACTCTCTCAGCCTCAACTATGAAGGGAATTCTAAACTAGCTCATTGGTGTTTGTGTAGATTAAATAAGATCATTGTAAATAAGGTGCATGGTAGATAGCACATGCTCAATACATCTTAGCTGTTCTCATTTATACTTTAGATAACCACGAAAGGATAGCTGGTCAGCTAAAGGGTAAAGCATGTTTCTAAAAGCAACATTTTTAATGCTCTTCTAGCAAAGAATAATAATAAAAAGGGTTTGTTTTTTTTTTAAATGTGTGAACTCACATATAATCAATAAAATTTAAACTCATCCTGAAAAACCTGTCTTCTATTTTTCTAAACTTCTCTACCAAGGTTGGCACAGTTAAATTACACAACTAAGAAGATGTAAATTCTATTAACCTAAGCTTGATAACACCAATTCTGAATAAATATCAAGCAAAACAGAACTTTCTAAGCCTAACAATTATTCTGCAAGAGCCACTCAGGACCAGGTCTCTTGTTTTAAACATCTTTATTTTTAAGTATAATATATTTCTATTTCCTTTTAGTTTAACTAAAATCATTAAACTTGGCAACAGAAGCAGGAAACCATTTATAAGGCCAGCATGGCTATTTTACTTTTATTAATGAAAAGTTATGTAATAGTTTCAGCAAACTAGAGTTCCCTTCTTATAGTCTTTTAATATTTATAGAAATTTAAAAGAGTTATACTGCTAGAGTTCATTTTGGAAATTGAGAATTTCTATTATCTGACAGCAATCAATTATTTTAGCTCAATTACAGAAATGGCTATTTAAGAGTTATGTTCATCTTTATTCATACCCTTTAACAACAGGTCATCTGTATCTAGTACTTGACCTAGAAGCTCAGGTAAGTGTGGCTGAACAAAACTATACTAAGGTGGTCTCAACTCCAAACCACTGGGTCGCATCACTGGCTTTTCTACCTCCAACTGTACATTTAAAAAAGAAAAGAAAAAAAGCAGTGTTCTGGGGACATTTAAAGGGCCGGCTTGTGTGAACAAGATAGTGCTGTTCTAAACTACCGCAGAGCACACGAGTACCTTAAAGGACTCAGGGCTAAGTGGTGACCGAGCACAAGGAGACATTCATGGACACCATGCCAACATCCAGAAACTAAAATCCCATATCCCCTGTGAACTGAAAAATGAAACCTATAGTCACACATTTCTCTACATCTCCATTTCATGAAGTCTGGATTTTTAAAGGATAATAATTTTGATTTTTCAAACTACTATACAGAAAATCACTTGTAAACTATAATTTTAAATTAAAAAACCTGAATTATTTATTTTTATGCTTTAAATAAATTTTTATTTTGGAATAATTTTAGATTTACAGAAAAGGCGCAAAGATATCACAGAGTACCTATATACCCTTCACTCAGTTTTACCGACAGTTAACAACATATATAACCATGGTTTTGTCAAAACTAAGAAACTAACTGGTACATTACTATTAACTAAACTACAGACTTTATTTGGATTTAACCTGTTGTCTTTTTTTCAGTTCTAAGATTCAATCCCAGGTGCCACATTGCATTTAATGACATTTTTTTTTTTTTTAGTGCTTTAAGTTTTAGGACATGTTAAACTTGTGCGTCTTATTAACAATGTCCTCATAATTATTATAGAAAATATAGCTCCCTGTAAAATATGATGTATTGGATATTAGGGAGTGTTACATTAGGGTTCATATAAATATGTCATTTCTATTATTGAGGAGAAAAAGAGGTACATCACTAAATTACATTATGACCCACTGTCTACTTTGTTAGGAACCTGCTAGGTCAAATTATTTAATGTTTCAGAAATATCTCTTCAAAAAATGCTTGTCACTTACCTGTCACTCAAGGCTCCAGTAAAAAGTCATAACATATATTGTAAATCCTTTTAATTGTTCTGTAATAGAATATAAAGTATTATTATAATTATATTCAGATAATCCATTCTTATAAAAAATATGTAAAAACTGCTTTCCTTCCACCCTCAAATTTCATTTTTAAGATAACAAAATAACTAATTTAAGGGAGAATAATTCCACAAATGAATTACATGTCTTTAAATATAGGTATGCAAAATTTAACGAAAGTTTTAAGATAAATAGAAAATGTTCTAGGAAAAAAGGCCATAATGAATAAAACTGACTAAGAAGAATGCTTCACATTCTTTTCCAGGTGCATAATGTTATGGAAATTACTAAACAGCCATAAACAAGTGAATCATATTAAGGGTACAGCCTTTTTGATGGAAAAATATAAAAGTTTGAGGTTAGAAGATTTTTGAAAAAACATGTCTGGTCAAGAGTCTATGTGTACTTTACCTGAGATAGTCCCAATTTATGTCCATTGTCCCAACAATCTATTATTTGTCTTGGGTTTTCCATTTTCTAGTGTTTTTTTTTTTTTTTTTTTTTTTTACATTAGCATGGTAACACGCCAGGACCTTCACTTCCAGGCTCTGCCATGATCTCACTGAGCAGTGTGAGATGCATGTGCAATGAACCCACTCAACACAGACAACAGTGAGGAGTGTGGTGACAGCCAGAGGAAAGGGGGCTGGCGGGCGTGTCCGTGGAGTCAGGCAAAGGGGAGGAAAATGGGAACTGAAAGAGACTTTGCCTGGGGTGACGGGCACGTGATGCAGAGCGCCGATGATGTTTTCTTGAGTTGTACACTTGAAATCTGTATGATTTTGTGGATCAATGTCACCCTAATAAATTCAATTTAAAAAAATCTGAAAGGTCCTGAGCAGTCACACATCTGTGGATGGTCTGTGACTGGCACTTCATCCTCAAAGCCACTTACAGAAAAAGTGTCACTCAGGAGAGCTAGGGACAGCTAACTCCTTCAGACTTGGGTAAAGGTGGAAGGAATATTCAATGCTGTTGCCCCTGCTTATGACTAGCGTGAATACACCAATTACGAAAGCCATAGGGAGAGCATGTTTTACATATAACTCTGTAAAGCATGACTTTTCAATTAGATCAAATGACTGTTCTTTAAATTTATCTTAGTCAGCTCTGATTACAAATTATCTTGTTTAAACAGCCAAAGTTAAATGGCAGCTGTTATTCTGTTGGCTCTATTAGCAGAAGAAATTCACACTTAAATGATGCCAGCTTCCTATCAGTGTCAGGAGATACATCAACTAGAAAAATCAGTTAATTCCAATAATGGGTTGATTGTTTTTATACAATTCATGAAATCAAAATAAAGCTTTTGGAAGTGCATTCTGTAGAACATGAAACATCTGACATTGCTGTAACTGTTATTTAAACTCAGTTACAAAGTTCAACAGCAAAGATAAAATTACAGTCAGTTTTCATTATTTAAAGTAATTAAGCTCTGTAAAACAAAACAAAACCATTGCTCTTAGAATACAGAGGTACATTCCTGTGAGCCTCTGGCCACCACCACTTTCATCAACTGACCAAACATAACCTTGTTTTATGTGCATTTCTGCTTAAAGACACTTTTTTTAATATAAATTGTTGAGTCAGTGACATTGAACTCACAGTCAATCGTGTTAACCTGTGCCTGTATGAAACTTATTTAAAGCACATTTTCTCTGTAAAATACATTATGTCTCAGCCTTCTTGCACTTAGGAACAACATACAGTACTTCAGCACTGCACCTGGGCACTATTTTAAACAGCAAAATCACCAACAAGAAGCATAAACATGCAAAAAATGTGGCACCAGGAAGAGGACAGTTTACAGTATCAGAGCAGAAAGAAGGCAGAGAATTGCTGTATTTTACCTAAGCTGGAAAGGTTTTAAGCAATCCAATTTTTTTCTCACTCTGCAAATGTCCATGAATGACTATAAAAGCAGCATGAGTATTAATTTTGGCATTACAAATATATTTTTGTTAAGTAGAATTTGCAAAATGGAATCTGTGAATAATGAGGATAGATTGTATTTGTTTTTACAGTGCTAATATAAATTTTGTTCAAGCACAGCATCAGAGTAAAAAACAATGTTCATATTAATTTAAAAATTATGGAACAAAACTAAAAATGGACTTAGTTGTGATTCACATTCACAACTGTGCCATATAAACTTTAAACTAGACTAGCAATCAGAGTAGAAGCAAACATACTGCACAACTGCATCCACCAAAAAGGTGCAGTCTACCAATTGAAGTTTATAAACATTTAAACACATACACACGCACAGAGTTAAAGAAACTGAACTAGAATGTTTTGTGTGACAAAGATAATGTTGAATAAGAAAAAACTTCAATGGGGGAAAAAATGGGGACAACTGTAGTTGAACAACAATAAAAAAAATTTTTTTAAAAGAAAAAACTTCAGCATGGCAGTTGATCCTAAAACTCATGTGGATAGCCAAGCAAACTTAAAAAAAAAATAACAGAAATGGAAGAGTGAAACAACCCAATTTAAATACTTATAATATAGTTGCACAGTGTGGAACTGGCGTAAAGGTAAACATGTAAAACAATGGAATGGAATTGAGAAATAAACTCTTATATTTCTGGTCAATTTTGACAAGAACATCAACCAAAACAATTTAATGGGCAAAGTACAGTCTTTTCAACAAAAGTTACAGGGACAACTGAATATCTACATGCAAAAAAATTAAGCGTGACCTCTTCTATACCGTACACTGAAATTAACTAAAAATCACAGATGTCAATGTAAGTACTACAACTATAAATGTCTTAGAAGAAAACATAGAAGTAAATCTTTAGGATTAGGCAATGGTTTTTAAAATAGATAACAAAAGCACAATCAACAAAAGAAAAAATAGATAAAGCGGGCTCCATCAAAATTAAAATCTTTTGCGCTGCAAATGATATTATAAAAAAAAAGTCCAGAATGAGAGTAAATAATTTAAATCATATATCTGAAAGGGGATTACTATCAGTAATAAGAACTCTTGTGATTAATTAATAAAAGATAAATAATTACTTAATTAAAAATTAAATAATGGGCAAAGAATTTGAATAGACATTTTTCTAAAGAAGATTTAGAAGTCGTTGACAAACATGTAAAGATGTTCAACCTCATAACCATGAAAACCACAATACATTTACAGTCAATTTGATATTCAATGAGATACCATTTCCCAACCATTAGGATAGCTATAATGAAAAAGAGAGATAATAGTAAGTACTGATGAGGATGTAGAGAAGTTGGAATACTATATATATTGCTGGAGAGGCAGGGGAATGCAAAATGGTAAAGCCACTTACCAAACCAGTTCGGCGGCTCCTTAAAAGGTTAAAACATAAAATACCATTTGATCCAGCAATTCTACTACTAAATACATACTGAAGGGAAATGAAAACATGTATCCACGCAAGAATTTGTACATCAATGATCACAGCAGCATTATTCATAATACCCAATAAGTGAAAAAATCCCAAATGTCCACCAATTGATGAATGGGTTTAAAAAATTCCACAAGATATAGTAGCAACCCACGTGCCCATAGAAAAGTGTGTAAAAATGTTGTGGTATATAGATTCAGTGGACTAGTACTCAGCCATAAAAAATAAAATCTTACTATTTGCACCAGCATAGATGGAACTAGAGGGTATTATGTTAACGGAAATAAATCAGTTAAAGAAAGACAAATACCGTATGATTGCACTTCACTGGAATCTAAGGAGCAAAACAAACAGACAAAATAGAAACGGACTCACAGACATAGAGAAAAACAGACTATTGGTTGCCAGAGGGAAGAGGAGCTGGGGAACTGGGTGAAAAAAGTGAAGGAATTATGAAGTACAAACTGGTAGTTACAAAATAGTCACAGGGATGCAAATTACAGCACAGGGAATATAGTCAATAATATTGTAACTATCTATGATGCCATGTACTGAAAACATCAGGGGGACACTTTGTAGAGTATATGATTGTCTAAACACTAAGCTGTACACCTGAAACTAATACAAAATAGTACTGAATGTAAACTATAATTGAAAAATTAAATTTAAGTTTTAAAAAAGTTAACTACTACTTTTAGGAAGTAATAATAAAATAAAAATAAACGATGTGACATATCCATACAATGGACTAATAATATTCAGCAATAAAAAGGATAGAAATACTAGTATGCACTACATCATGAATAAACCTCAAAAAACATATTAAGTGAAAGAAGTCAGACACAAAAGACCTTGTATTGTATGACATAATTTACATGAAAATCAGAATAAACAAATCTACGAAGCCAACGAGCGGCTGACAGGGCCAGGGTGACTGGGAGGATGGGGATGGGAAGCAACTGCAAATGCATTTGCGTTTCTTTCTGATGTGATGGAAATGTTCTAAGCCTAGATTATGGTGATGGTTGTACAGTTCTGAAAATATACTAAAACCATTGAATTGTATAGTTGAAATGGGTTAATTTTATGGCATGAAAATTGTATCTCAATAGAAATGTTTTTATTTTTTATTAAAACCAACTATAGTGTCTAAAAAAAGAAAACTGAATCCATAATTATCAAAAAAAATGCAAAGTGATTATTATAAAATTTGGACCAGGGTTGCGACTAACACAGACACATGGAGTCGTTTCAAGAGTGACTGACAAAGTTCTATGCTTGACCTGAGTGGCACCGGCCTTGGAATGATTCACTAAACCATATATTTGACTTGCGTGGTTTTACATATCTATGTTTTATTACACAATAAAAACACTCTTAAGGGGGCTATTTTTGGGTTTTTTAAAAATAGGAATTTGAGACTACATGGTAATTATTTGACTAACTTATTAACATAATGATGAAAATATCCTATAGCTGTACTGTCCAGTATGAGCTCCTGAAATGTGACTAGCATATTTGAGGAACTGAATTTTTAATTTAATTCTAAGTAATTTAAATAGCTGTATGCAGTTGGTAGCTACTTCGTGGACAATGAAGGTTTA